TACATCCAAAGTTTCCTAACAAACCGCAAAATCACCGTGGGCATAGACCAAACGCTATCGACCAATGTCCCCTAGAAAATGGCACTCCCCAGGGCAGCATCCTAAGCCCAACACTCTTCAATATTATGATTAACGATCTATTCGAGGGACTATCCCCCAAAGTAAACACATCAAAATTCGCGGATGATGGAGCCCTCTGGATCCGCACTAAAAGCATTAAAATGGCCCAAAACTTACTTCAAAAATCTCTAAATAAAATACAAAAATGGGCTGACAAATGGGTCTTCTCCCTCAACTCAGAAAAAACCACAGGAATAGTATTTAAACACAAAAATATGCAACCCGCCTCCCTAAACCTCCAACTAAACAACAATCCAATCAAGTTCCAAAAACAAACCAAATTCTTAGGATTAATCTTCGATGAACATCTCACCTGGGATGCTCACATTAAAAACCTAGTAACCAGATGCAGCAAAGACCTAAACACGTAAGATGCCTAACCGGCTCCAACTGGGGGGCCTCTAAAAAACACCCTCCTCTCCCTCTATATATCACTAATTAGATCCAAACTAGACAATGGCAGTGCCATTTACGACACCATAAACAACTCTCTCATTAAAAAACTAGACTCAATCCAGTATCAGGCCCTAAAACTAATCACACGAACTCAACATGGCACCTCTTCACCTCACTCCAGGCCTTAACAGGAGAAATGCCACTTACATGTGTACGTAGGGAACAACTTACCCTAAACTTCTGGGCCGCGTCCCAATCAAACCCTCTAATCGAAAACTTAATAAAAAACAATATTAGCCCTAGAAACCAAGCCCTAGCCCGGAAACATCCACTACTTACTCCAATTTCCCAAAGAATAACCAATTACCTAAATGAACACAAAATAAATAATCTTTAACAAAACAATAAATCATCCAATATCTTCACTCCAAAACTTAAAATACCAAAAAATAGACACAGCACTAGCCGATACACTAAATAAACAGACCGATTCTAACACGCTAAAACCACCACACTAGCATACATACATGAAAATTGGCCAAATTGGTGTCACATATACACAGACGGATCCTCAGATCCGACCTCCAAACACACAGGTTTCGGAGTCCATACCACACAACCAACCAAAAACACACAATCTTACCGACTCCCAAACAACCAATCCATATTCACGGCCGAACTAATGGGCATGGCCTCAGCACTACACAATCAGCAATCTAAAAAACACCAAAAAATCCTCATCCTAACCGACTCCCTCAATGGACTACAAGCCCTCAAAAATAAGAACACTAAAAACCACCCCAAACTAATAAATCAAATACTCAAAAGCTCAAACAACTTAACTAAGGCAGGTAAACAAATAGAGTTCATTTGGATCCCCGCCCACGTAGGAATCTTTGGAAATGAAAAGGCAGATAAAGCAGCAAAATTATCCCTTAAACTCCCAGAAATAAGCTTAAACTTACCCAGCTCAAAATCAGAAATCAAAAGTGTCAATAAACAAAAAATCAACAAATTGGCAAAATATATTCCAAAACTCAAATAGCCAAATCAGGAAAGAACTCAAAAACCCCCTAAATAAACCAAAAATACTACACCCATCCAAAAAAATCGACAGAATAATTACTAAACTACAAACAGGCCACACCAAACTAAATAATCACCGTAAAATAGCTAATCTACCCACAACAGGAAACTGCCCACATTGCAAACAACAAGAAACACCAGAACACGTACTCATTCACTGCACACACTACCAAACACACCGAACAACACTACAGACCACCCTAAATCTTAAAACGGGACTTACACTAGAATCAATCCTAAATCCACAAAATAAATTAGAAAAATTCAAAGCCTTAGGCATATACCTAATTAAAACAGGACTAATTAGTCGCATTTAAACCCCAAATAAAATATTAAAACCAAAACTACCTTATCTAACAACCACCCAACCCACACAGCTCCCTTAGTTCGTCCCCCACCCACTCTTGGCATTCTTTCCAAATCTCAAAATTTCAAAATTACTATATAAGCAACCCCTAAAACCCCCCTCGTGGGTTGCTCAAACTCACTTTTCCCCTTTTTGGAAACACATTAAATGGCCGGGCCGGGCCGGGCCCGTTTGCGACATACGCTTGCAGTCGGGAAGCGCACGTTAAATCTCCAATATAAGTAAGTAAGTAAGTAAGTAAGATATAACACTAATCTATAGATGTGAATCCATTTGATGATACATCTGTGAGGGTTAAGTTAATTTTGACAGCCCGGACCAAGTCGGATCGAACACTTCTGACAGATTTTCTTAAGAAAATACAGTAAAAGAGCTTGACTTTAACGGCCCAGTTTTCTTTAAATGCGATATACCGTGACATTATAAAGTGGTATATAGGCAGATATAACACTAGTCAATAGATGTAAATACATTTGAAGATACATCTGTGTGTTTAAAGTTGATTTTGACAGCCCGGACCAAGTCGGACCGAATACTTCTGACAGAGATTTTCTTAAGAAAATACAGTAAAAGTGCTTCACTTTGAGCACCTTGTTTTCTTTAAATACGATGTACCGTGACATTATAAAGTGGTGTATAGGTAGATATAACACTAATCTATAGATGTAAACACATTTGATGATACATCTGTGTGTTTAAAGTTGATTTTGACCGCCCGGGCCAATTCGGACCCAACACAAGCCAAACACTTCTGATAGAGACTATGTTGAGAATGTAGAGGGAAAAGGGCTTCACTTTGAGCCCCTTGTTTTCTTGAAATACCGCGATCTGAGACACTACAAGGTGGTATTTAGGTAGATATTATACTAGTTTATAGATGTGCATCCATTTGAAGATACATATGTGAGTTTAAAGTTGATTTTGACAGCCCGGGCAAAGTCGGACCGAACACTTGTGTGACTGTTGAGAGTATAGGGAGAAGAGGTCTGCTTTAACCAACGTGTCTGCTTTAAATACGATGAACAGTGACATTTTAAAGTGGTATTTACTTAGATATAGTACGTTCCTATAAATAGAAACGCTATGCCGACAGATGGAAATTTGTATCACGATAGCTAGAAGTATTTGATACGTTTCAAATCTTATTTCTTTTAACGATTGCTCTTTTACATGTTACCTAGATCAGCGACGCTTACACACAGCTCCACTTTCTGGTTTTCAAGTGATTTACTCCGAATTTCTTAATTATGGTGTACTTTTTTGTTTAGTGATTGTTCATTTATGTCGTGTGTATGCTGCACACAGCAAAAAAAGTGTAGGTTTCCGTCTTCCGGAAACCTTCCGGATACCTACCCATTTTGGATCCGGCCCGGATACCTTCCGGAAACCTTCCAAAAAAAATGTCAAAATTTGGGGGGTGCATTTTGTTCACTTAAGTGTGAAACACATAAAAAAATTAACTTGAAAATACCAAGCAATTTGAAGGTTGTTGAAGGCATCTGGAAGGTTTCCGGAAGGTATCCGGATGCAAATTTTCTTCATGACTTGCTTCTGGTAAATAATGTTAGCATGTGCATTACAGGTAGCTGTTGTAATATTCTGGGTTACTTTAATGGTAAATATCCTCCTAAAACATTTTTGGAGAAGACAATTGTTCAATTTCATATGTTGTCCTTTTCAGATGTTAATGGTATTTAATGAACAAACATCAGTTCTCGCATAACAATATCCTTAAATTTCATGTCCAGACTTCCAGTTTGTACTGAGAAGAAGTCATTGACAATGTGCTCACTTGGGCCTTTGGTCCTAGTGAGATGATAATAAGACTATTTGTAATGGTACATGTACTTGTTATATCCAAAATACTAACTTCATTGAAATTTGCCTCACCCTAGTTTTATGGTACTACAGTGAGCTCTTGCTCAGTTACTGTGAATTCTTTTATTAAAAGGGATTGAGAGTTAATTTGACACTGGAGTTGTAACCACTGCTCATATATGTGTATTCAAATAATATAACAACTATGTGCTTAATACTTCACAAATATGTCCAGAAATAGGCATTTTAGCCATAATTGCAGAAATACTTTATGAATGACCCCTTCACTATTGCCTTGATCTTACACTTCAACCCTTCATGAGTTATCACTTTTGAGTGTGAATTTGACCTTCAATATCAGTGATAAATATTTCAAAAACATTTCAAAGAGCTATCCAGCACATAAACCAAATATGCAGTCCTTTGGTAGAATTCAACATATCATTGACAAAAATATGAAAGTAATGTGTAACCAGTATATGTATAAGAGTTACTAAGACTTCTGCAGAAAAGGCAATTTAGGGGAAAATGTAGTATATATAGATCACACACGACCGTTTTCCAACTTCGACCCCTGCCCAAAGGAAGAGTTAGACCACAAACAAACTTTTTGTCTGGTTGTGACTTTGACCTTTGACATAATAGATCAATGTGTCATAAGATGTTTTCAGAGCAAAGGAAACATGTTATTTATTCTTGAGATGCCCAAGCAATACATGGTTTCATAAGATAAGTGTGGCTATTAAACTGAGGCAAAATCATGAAACATCCCCATTTACACAGCTGGCAAATAAAACATAAGCAACTATCAAATTTCAATTTCTTTTATTCATATGCCTATAGTATATCGCACATTGAACAGTGTTCACATGATGGTTCCTGATGCAGTATGCAATTTCATCCTATTCTTCAATACTCATAACAGAGGGTGATAACTGTTCTCTTGACAGTACCTACGGATAATGTTCACCAGTTCAGAGAACTTACTTTCCCTCAATCCTCCTTTTCTTTCTATATTGTCATGGATGAACAGGAACCAGGATGAGGGGATACCAGTTGGACTCTATCTCTGCAGCATTGTGTTAGTAGAATTGTGAACTTTCCTTTTGGTGTTTGGGTCCACATTTAAAGACAATAAGTCCCATTTATCATTCCTTTCAAGTGTTTACCACATGGCTCAAGACAAGAATTTCCTGTATGTCCTGGAATTCCAGCTTGGCATCGGTTGGTCTTCTCACATTAGGCAGACCAGCCTTTGTGTGTCCCTGTACCATTTGGCATACAACTTCTTGGTCGGCCTCCATTGAAATAACAGGACCCTCGACCTCTGATATCTGAAGGGGTGCACCCTCTGTTTAGGACTCCCTTGTCTGGTCCTTCCAGACTGTCAACCTGGAGTACTCATCCAGGGATCTCAAGCAGGACTTCAGTTTCTGCAGCATAATGTACAAAGATTTTAGCAATCAAAAAGAATTGTTGCCACATGTACTTACAGATAGAAGGCAGCAAAATCACTTAAGTTATCATATGTGAGTCTTGTTACATGCTAAACATTTAAGATAATCACATCTCAAATCTCAACCAGACAAACCAGTGATTAATGTTATGAACTTAGTACAGACAAACCGATGATAACTATTATGGACAATATCCCACATCACTGTGGTATGATTACATGCGATCAATGAGCCTACTCAATCACTACCTTATCTATTAATTAGGCTTGGAATGCTGGGAATCTTTTTAAGTGATGTCATTTAGTGACTGTTTCAACTCATCAACATGGAAAAATATATATTTTCAATCCTTGTCATATAGCCAAACTATTGCTGGATGCAGTGTTAAATAAATGAGTTGGCTTTAACACTGCTTTGAACAGTATTCCAGATATATCACCGCATGTTAGCTTGATGTGGGAAGAAAGCCCTAAGTGATGCAGGTCTTTGATGAATCCCACAAGCATGTGTATAATGCTGACAAACCTAGCAACATAATCGGGTAGAACCAGGATTTGAACCCATGACTATAGGTTTCTGCCCAAGCCCAAGAGATGCAACTCTGCACAGCAAATTGTAGTGCCTTAGATAATAGGACATCCGTGCCCACAGCGATGAGGAACAAACTGAAGAAATATTTGCAAAATAACCATATGAACCAAACAGAATAATTTCAAAATATTTACCACTGTTGCTCTTCTATGGTCTTTCATTGCATTGATGCTGCACAGATGACTGTCTCTTTTATTCATCCGGACATTCTACAAACATAAGCAGCATTCACATCACAGAAATGTCCAAACTTTACATGTTGTACATTTGAATCAAATGAAAAGACCCCGGTTGTGATTCCGACTTAGAACTGCCCTAATTATAATAATTCATGTCGAACATTCAGAGATGACATTTATCCCCATATTTAACAAATGTCAAAACAATATTTTGACAACAAAGTCAGGGTCATTCAACACATACATTACATAGGAAATAACTTGTTCAACAATGCAGAGAGATCCTCACCGAGGTGAATATCATTCCATGAATTATTGCCAAATTTTCTTGAAACGCAGATTAATGCAATGCAGTATTTACTTTTATTTCTAGGCTATTTGTTTGGCTTTTCAATGGCGCTGTTTTGACAGAGATCTAACCTTGATATGACACTTTGTTCAGAAATGATATAAATAAGAGAATACTTTATTATTCCCGAGAAAATTTGGGTTACATTGTAAAAGCACAGAGAAACAAGTATAAGATTCATGATTTAAGTTAAATACACTCATACATACACACACAAACACAACATCCAAACACCAGGGTTAGAAATTGGCACTAGTCATTTTGACATTTTAAAGGTTTTGCTATATGCTATCATTTTAGGACTAGTGCACTGAAATTGTTAGTTTCTACCGCTGCAAACACTAATCAACTAATGAATTGGGTGGTCAGACTAGGTTGTCATCATACTCTGAGGGCATGGATCTTTGCTGATAATAACAATGACTAGATTGCCTGGTCCATGTTCAATTATTTACAGGCTGCCATCACAGAGCTGGACTATTGTGAGTGTGATGTTTCACACTGCATTGAAATATACCATGATGAATACATGTAGTTTGTATTTATCACAAACAAAAATACTCACTCAATACTTTGTATCCCCCCTGAGGATGTCTGTGAACCTCCCCACAAACCCTGAACATGCTGAAACAGAAAACAACTAACTTGTCTTTATCCTTTCAATGTTTCAATGTTAATTTGTTAAAGATTGATAAGCTGTCATTATTCATTGTAATCCATATATCACTTTCAGGTGGTTCAGGTGGCAACACTTGATTGGAATTGAATGCCACGTTTTGTTTGACATGCACTTTGCCAGATTTATACCCTTGGTAACAAACCCTCATCATCAAATCCCAGCGTTATATTGAGAATAAGGACACAACCCTTAAACTGTTAAAAGTCCTGCACCTGTAGCTCTTATGCAAGCCCAGATAGAAATACCATGTCACAACAAACACTTGATCATAATAATAACAAAAGGTTTCCGAAAACAACAAAACTAAAAGGCCCTTGACGTTTACAGTAGTAACATGGAGATCAGGAAAATATCTAAATCAATCCATTCCCATAAGATCTCTGTATAGAAATCATGGAACAATATGTCTCGAAGCCCTACGTACCTGGCATCCGCAAGCTGCTCCTCCTTCGGCTGTCAATCGAGTTTTCGAAATACTTGACGTCCTCGTTGTGGATGGCTCAGGTGGATTTCGACCGGGATTTCCGTGTTAGAGGTGATTGAGAACAATGTATCGATACACGAGGTAAGCATATCGCAATCAAGCATCACGGTGTACATCGATTACACGAGGTTTGAGTGTTTGTTTACATTTGTGTTCCAAAATGGCGCCCTCGGCCATACAGGGAATTATGGGTAGACTTGCTTGTCCCGGAATAACACGAAGTGGTCACGAATGACGAGCGGTCATTTCTGCAGCAGTTACGGAAAGAGACGAGGTTGGCAGGTTACTGTTCATACAGGCCATATTGGGAGCCGCGGGGATTTTGACAGTGTGTATTAGGAAGTATATCTACGTCGTGTATGGAATATGCGTTTGCCTACCATGCAAGGCAGTGTGACAAGGGATATGCCAGCGGGCGTAATATTCCTACAGCAGAAATGTTTCACAACCTCGATTGCAGGGAGCTGAAGACGTGATATATTCAGACAGAGACCACAATGCATAGACTGTTATATGGTCTCCGATTCAGGTAAGGAATATGTGAATAATATTGATCACGTATTAAAGTTATTTATCTTCTGTAAGCCACTTATTCTGTTTTATATATGTTAGTAAATGTGTGATTTAATTTTTGTAGGATAAGCAATCAACCTAACTTATGCTAATCCTTGCTAATGTATATGATGTAGAAATATGTTTGCTTACTTATATTCCTTTATCTAGATACTCTAATGTGACTTATTTTTCTAGTTCATACCGTACCGACTAAACTTAGTTTTGCAGGTGTGAAGAATCAAGAACAAATTAATTGACAGGAGTTTTGCAACAGTGAACATAGTGAAGTGGAAGATAAGACATTTGAAAGGTATGGATATTTTCACTTGAACTTGTTGAAGAATACCATGATGACAACTTTATCATGTTGGGAATTTTGGCGGTGGGGTAGCCTAGTGGTTGAAGTGCTGAAGACCAAGTTTTGATTCACACAATGTGTGAAATCTATGTCAGGTGTCCCTTGCTGTGGTATTGCTAAAAACAGCGTAAAACCATACCCACTCATGTGGGGATTCCGGGTTGGAATTGGTCCCCATCAACCTATGCTAGTTGTAAGAGGGTTATACTATAAAGCGAAACAGCACCTCGCCTACTATTGCCTGGTGAAAACAGCACCTTGTTATTTATTTTACCTTGGGTCTGAATAAGCCCGAATACATGAAATTAAACTTGCATGGTCACTTGTAAACACAAATAACTGAGAAATGTTCAAAAAGGTTTACATTCGAAACTAGCATCTACTCGCTGACTCAGATTTGGAGATGCAACTAAACTTATTGTGAAAATAAAACTTGCTTTGATTTCTTTGAAGTAAAATAAATGCAATTAAACTGGCAAACACAAATAATTGTTAAATGTTAATCACCTAAAAACAGTTTACATTAGAAATCAGCCTCTGCTCAAATTTACTCATGATTCTGATTGGGAGGTGCAACTTATCATTGAAAGATCACATGCTTTGAAGTTTTAAGTAGCTTTACTCAGATTAGCTCAATGTCAAGAAACTGGACAACAGGTATACTATATATTTCATATTTATTTTAGTAAGTAGGAAATAAATAGTAATTTTATAGAAATTTCATTTATATATCTTTCGGCCAGGAATCAACATGTCTCTCCAGATAACAGACAACAATTAGTAGCCCTTTTTGCCAAAACAAGGTGTTGTTTTCGTCCGAGAAAGCAATGACATTTAGCTGAGGTGCCGTTTTAGCCTCACCCATAAGAGATAACCTAATAGATCGGGTGATCAGGCTTGGTGACCTGGTTCATGGCATCTGACAGTGACCACCTAACAGTGTGGATTGATGTTCACAATATCAATCACTGGATTGTCTAGAATCTTGGGCCTACCTTAAGAATACAGTACCTAACTTTTCAAACAGGTCACAATACCCTGTGATGTAATTCGTAGTATTTTTTGCTTGACACACTGGCAAAACAATGCCTTGTGATGTCAGGGGTCATTGGATGTGAGTATATATGCTCTTTTCAGTGGTCTATCGTCTCCATACGCTATGTTGTTGCATAAGTTTTAATTATTTGTTTACTAAATATTGTTTTAAACATATTTATTTCACAACTTGTGAACTGGATGAGTAAACAAGCAAAAACTTATTTGAATACCGCTCCAGAATTAGAATACAATATGATATGACATAGGTACAGTCAAGAAATACAATTATATACATGTTCTTATTATAGAAACTACCTTGTCGGCGCTCTCAGGTCGCATTTTTAGTAGTAATAGTGTACTGCAATATACGACAAGGAATAGTATTATAAATTTAAGATGCTATGTAAAATCACAAAACCTATTGGATAGCTGAATGTAGTCTTGTACTGATTTAAGAATTTCTAAGTTTATTTTTGACGTCCTTTCAGGATTACTTAATAGAATTGAATTTAGATCATATCCCTTAACATAATAGTACATATTCTGTCTTAAATCATTGTAATTTGGGCATATGAGAAAGAAGTGAAGTGCATCTTTAGTGTGATGGTCAAAGCTACATGTGGGATTATCTGATAAATATTGCCTGCGGATGCGCATTTTATAACAAGTGCTTGTTTATGAAAGCACCTTTATTTTCTATATGCTTTTATTTCATTTTTTACTTATTACAGTGGTTAAAATGATTATAAATATAAATTGAAATCTATAATGTGCAATAACCGGGTTATAGCTGAAACGACACCTTAGCAAAACAGCACTGACTGGCGAAATACTCGCCGAAAGCGAAAACGGCGATTATTACTTGACGAAAATGACTCCTTATTTTTTTTTTACCTTGGTAAAATAAATGAAATTAAACTTGGATTGATAACTTGCAAAGACCAATAATTGTGAAATGTTAAAACAAGTTTACATTAGAAATTAGCCTCTACTCCAACTTATCCTATACCCGACTCAATTTATTGTGATAAGTAGTATAGGTAATGGGGGTTCTGGCTCACTTCCACTGGAGCCGGATTCATATACCTATACTGCTACTACAGATGGAATTTTTTATGCCAAAATGATTATGTGATTTAATGATAGTCATGAGATTAAGTTAAATTGGCTCTAGCTCACCAATACCTGGGGCCAATCAATGCTTCTATTAGTATAAAAATGATTATGCGATTCAACGATAGTCATAAGTCGTATTAAAAGAAACATCAATGTTAATTAATAATGGATAAAATTTACTATAGCCCACGAGGATATTGGAAAGGTGTAGGAGCAATAAAAAAATTAGCCACCGCGGCTAAGGTATCTAAAGATGTGGCCAAGGATTGGTTAAAGAAACAAGCGATGTGGCAAATATATTTACCGGCACCGCGTTATATACCGAGGAAGAAGTTTGATATTTTTACGACGAATGAAGTTCATCAGGCTGACCTCTTGTTTCTTCCCCACGATAAGGTAAAACGCAAAACGTATAAATACGCTTTAACGGTAGTGGATGTGGCTAGTCGATACAAAGAGGCTGAGCCATTAACATCGAAAGAATCAACAGAGGTAGCTAATGCACTGAGTCGCATATATAAACGCGGGCCGCTAAAATGGCCTAAGCTATTTCAAGTAGATCCCGGTCGCGAGTTTATGGGATCGGTAACTAAACTGTTAACAAAGAACGATGTCGAAATCGTCCGTGGTGAAAGAGAGGCCCACCGCAGTCAAGCTATCGTCGAAAGATTTAACAGGACATTAGCGGAACGTTTGTTTGGTTATCAGTATGGGATCGAAATGAAATCTGAGCGATTGAGATCAACCGAATGGGTGACACGATTACCAGCCGTTGTATCAGCGCTGAATAATGAAGTAACGAGATTAATAGGGAAGAAACCATCCCATGCTATTAAAATGAAATCAGTGACTTCCGAATCTTCAGCACCGAGGAGAGGCAAAGAACGAAAACTTCCGGATAGAGTAAGGGTAAGATATTTATACCAGGCGGGTGAACTCGAAGGAGGCCTACGTCGCGCAACCGATCCCATGTGGTCCCTTAAGACGTATAACATTAGTCGATTGGTTACGAAAGAAGGAGAGCCTATTCTTTATTATCTTCAAGATGGACCGGGTAGGGCATTTGTACGAGAAGAGTTGTTCATAGTTCCCGACGGTACGGTATTACCACCATAACCATAAGCATAGGTATTTACACCATCATTATCAATCCATCTCTTTGTATCTAAGGGGGATAATGATGTTTTGTTCATTCTTAATCCATATATCCTATGATTGTAACTTCTTAAAGAGTTCATCTCGTTTTTGAACGTTCTACCGTTGAATAATGATTCTTTATACTGTTCGTGTTTGATATGCTTTTTTACAACATACTTCTTAACGCCCTTAGCTTTTCTTATCTCCCCATTATCGGACTTCTTTATAGAATACATCTTAGGTCTTAATCCTACATACTCCGCTATAGGGGTCCCAGCACATTCATCCTTCATCTTACCTAACACCTTTTTATTTACTACGCTGTGCAGTGGATTATCTTTTGGGTAATCGCTCGTGTCGTACATATCTATTTTTTCTGCCATATCTTTATACACATCCTCGGTTTGTATTTCCATCAACAAAGAATCTGTGTCGGTATATAACACCTCGCATCTATCGCCGTATTGCTTCTTAAGTTCGTTGTAATAAAAGTCATACATTAAGTGTTTTGACAAGTCGAGAATACTCATACCGACGTACACCGGTCTGTTGAATTTTATATTACTCTTCTGCATATGCAACGCGGCTAAGTCGTTATCGAATATCTTGCTTCTGTTAAAAGTCGGACTGGCTATAAGTTTCCTGAGTCTTTCTTCCTCATTAGATCTGACTAATTTAACATCAACACGCTTCCTTAGATTCTCCATAGTTTTACCAAATACCGAGTTATTCATGAGCTTATACAGATTCTTTTCGAAATCGCTGGTAGCTATCTTTCTTAAATCTGTGTTCAACCTTATATAGGGCTCCATCCAAGGGCTTTGATCGAACTTTAGAACTCTGTGTATTTTCTTAAGTTTCATACCTAACGATAGATACAACTGGAGATTTCTGTAGTGAACTATATATTTTGTTTTATCCATCAAATTTGGTACGAGTTTTTCTACGTTAGCTAACCTACTATTACCCATCAAGGAGCGTTGATATTCCGACATCCAATCTTTATTAACCATTAATCTTTCGGGAGCTAGCGGATAACTGTTATGATCTTTATGTAACGAACTTGGATATTCCAAGTCAACTTCTAGTATGTACCCTTTATTCACATTGATATTATGGATATCATTCTCATCGACCCATTCAAAACCACCCGTGGGTAAAGGTTGACTCATAGCCCATCCGTACAAATTGTTAGCGTCGAGATATAATATGTGGGTGTCGGGTTTACTGGGATCGTATCCTTCCACTAATTTATTATTAGCCTTAGAATACCTTTTAGCTGCCATCGATATACCACCTCTTAATCCTTTCTCAATAAACAAGTGCATATCGTAATCTGTGAGTAGTTTTAGTTCTATGCCGGTCTTCTTCAACAATGCATCCCACGATAGTCCGGGACTGGAATAGTACCATGCCGGGTCCAAGCCATATTGTTTGAAACATGTCTTTATAAATATCTCGAATATATCGGCGAGTAACAGTACATCGGTTTTTAAGTACAGATCGTGATAATCGCCTAAATTCTTACAACCTAATTTATCCCAGACCGTCAGAGCGTGTTCATAATCGGCACCTGTTATAATAGATTCTGTTAAGTTACTATAGAATGATTCGAGGGGTGGTAATTCAGTTTCTTCGAATCTAGACCAATCATCCATATA